CAACAACAACAACAACAAAGAATTGCCATACTGCTTTCCACGGTGTTTGTATCACTTCACAGTCCCACCAGCAGTGTATGAGAGTTCTAATCTCTCCACATCTCCACCAGCATTTGTTATTTTCTATCTTTTTGAACCTTGCCATCACTGCTGGGGTGAGATGGTATCTCACTGTTGTTTTGATTTGCATCTTTCTGATTGCCAGTGATCATGAGCATCTCTTCATGTATTTGCTGGCTGCCTGAATATCCTCCTTGGTGAAGTGTCTATTCATGTCTTCTGCCCATTTTCCAATTGGATTGTTAATCTCTTTGCTGTTGAGTCCTTGGAGTTTTCTATAAATCTTAGAGATAAGTCCTTTGCCAGATATGTAATTATCTACAAGTATGAATTTGTTGCTGTCATTTTATTACATGCTTTTTTGTGATGTGGATTTCTTTGTTCCATATAATTTTCTGTGCTGAACTTGTTTTGTTCGTGAATCATGTTATCACTTCTTTCATTGCTGTTGCTTTAGTATTTGCTAAATATTTGTCCTGGTCCTCTTTTTTATTTTGATGTAAATTTTTATCATTTTTCTTTGAGGTTACCCTGTGATTTATAGCTTTCTTCCCAAGTTTAGAACAGTCTATTCTATCTTGTAGTTGTCTTGACTTCCTTACCATTTAGAAGTTCTGTAACTACACAATTTTTTCCCTCTTTTTGGTTTGTAGTTGTTCTCATTTGTCAATTGATGTCTCTGGTTCCCTGTTTACAATCTTGTAGGCAAATTTACTTTGGATACTTCTATAACTGGGTTGGTTTCTGGGTTATGTCATCATGTGTGTTAATGGTCAGTTATTCTTTGTTGTTGATTCTCTGTCCAAAGGACTTCCTTTAGCATCTCTTGTAGGGTTGGTCTGGTTTAAAAAACTTTCCTAAATTTCTGCTTATCTGGAAATATCCTAATTTCACCATCATATTTGAGAGACAAGTTTGCTGGGTATATAATTCTTGATTGGAAAATTTTCTCTTTCAGGGTTTTAAATATACTGTCTCAATGTCTGCATGGTTTCTGCCAAGAAATCTGAGCTTAGTCTTACTGGTTGCCCCTTGTAGTTTAACTTTTGTTTTTTCCTATGCTGCTTTCAGGATTCTTTCTTTGTCTTTGATTTTGGTGAGTTTGATGATGATATGTCTTGGTGATTTTCTTTTGGGGTCTACCCTGTTTGGGGTTCATTTGACTTCATGAATGGATATATTCTCATCTTTCATCATACCAGGAAAATTCTCTTCCAACAAATCTTTGACATTTTTTTCTGTGATTTTCTTTTTCTCTTCCTATTCTGGAATTCTGATTACACATAGGTTATTCCTTTTGACGGTATCCCACATGAACCCTAGGCTTTCTTCATTTTGTTTTGATCTTTTTTCTGATTGACCCTTTCCAAAGAAGTATTGAGGTATTTGCCTTCAATCTCACTAATTCTGTCTTCCATTGATTCAATTCTACTCCTTTGCCCTTTCAATGCATTATCTATTTCTGAAAATTTAGCATTAATCTTCTAGATTTCTGTCTGTAGATTTTGTATAATTTCTAATTTTTCATTTCTTTTTTTATAATTTTGTTCTTGTATTGTCTTTCAAAATTGTTCTAGGGTTTTCTCTATGTTTTCCTCCATTTTATAAGTGTTTTCCTTGATCTGTTTCTCATTTGTTGAAGGTACCTAAATATAATTATTTTGAATTCCTTATCAGGAAGTTCCAATGTTGTGTCTTCCTCAGGGATGTGTTTTGAGTCTGTATCCTGGCCCCTTGTCTCTACCACTTTATCTTGCTTCTTTGTGTGGACTGTGATGCTCTGTTATCTCCAAGGCATTGTGAAATTTTTGTGTTTATATTTTATTGGTGATTTTATGTTGGAGTGACTTGCTCACAATTTTTGTTTTCTTTGTATATTATCTACATAAGCAGTATACTGTGCTGTGCTCCTCTATTCACTAGTTGGCAGCACTTATACACTCACTACCTGTCTCCTTTCTATTTATTGTCAGCCTCCCGTACACCCCTGTCATACTTGGCAAATGGAGCCTATTCTTAGTTCCCTGGAATCTGAATGAAAATGCTGTCACTTTATAATCCAAAATGCTCACCATTTGTAAAGATTTAAAAAGGTCCCCCCCTCGGTCACTTTAAATATCCAAAATGGTCACTGCTTGTAAAGATTCAAAATGGCTGCACCCTCAGTCACTTTAAATATCCATGATGGCCACAACTTATAAACAATCAAAATGGCTGCACCTTCTGGACAGCTGAAAGTCCACAGCTCAGGTTGTCTCCCTCCTTGCTGTTTCCCTTCTTAGTCACAGGCCACCAGTGCAATCATCCCTGGAGAGGTCATGGCGACCAGGGCTGATCTTTAGGTCAATTCTCAAATCCCAGCACCACTTGGAAATATTCAGGCTATCGTCCCATCAGAGTAGCTGACAATCCACTGCTCTGACCATCTCCGTACTCACTGTTTCCATTCAGGTTTCTCCACTAGTTGGTGCCTAATGCACTCCTCTATACTTACTTTCAAAGCTCAGGGCTCCAGGATTATCGTCTGTATCTCTATCAATTAGTTTCTCTTTTCTCTGTTGAACAGGGTCTGTGTAGCTTGTCTGTTTATTCCTCTATCTTACCGGCAGTCTAAATTAATTTTTTGTTGTTGTTGTTGTTTTGTTCATCATGGATTTTTTTTAACTAAATTAATTTTTGAAAAATAAACCAAAAAGTGAAACAAATGAAACAAATGTTAATTTTATCACCCTATGTTGCTGTCACATGGTAGAATGTTTCCCATACTGTCTAAAAATAAAGCATGTTTGTCTGGAAAGATGGAAAAGTGGGTACTTTGCTTTGTTCACCTGGAGGTATTAAGAGTGTTATTATCAGCAGTGATTTAATAATGTATTAGTTTGAGATGGCTGTTCCTCTGTGTGTGTCCAAACGTACACGCACAGTCAAAAGCAGAATACGTTTGGGATAGAAATAAATATTAATGCTTTGTTGTTGTTGTTGTTGTTTGCTGTGGAGTCGTCCCCGACTCATAGCGACCCCTCCTTGGGTTTCCGAAGCAGTATCACTACGGAAGTAGGATTGCCCAACCTTCCTTCCGAGGAGTGACTGGTGGGTTTGAACCGCCAGCCTTCTGGTGAGCAGTCAAGTGCCTTAGGCACTATGCTGTAAAACATTGTCATATTAACTCATTTGAAAATACTGTAGTAGTAATTTGTTGCATCTTCTCAAAAGATCTGAAAGTATTTTTCCTATGAGCATTCCATTCACTGCTCAGTGGAACTGAAGTTTTTTTTTTTTTTTTTTTTTTTTAACAAGGCTGTTGCAATAATTCATCTTCTCTCTTATTTAAGCAATACTAACACCAAACTCACGGCCATCAAGTCCATTCTGACTCATAGCGACCTCCATTGGGTTTCCCAGGCAGTAAATCTTTACTGAAGAGATTGCCCAGTCTTCCTACCTGAGAGTGGCTGGTTTGAACCGCCTACTTTTTGGTTAGCAGTCAAATACCTTAGGCACTACATAAGCAATATCAAAACCAAAAAAACAAAAAACAAACAAAAAAAACAAACTCACTGCCATTAAGTAGATTCCAACTCATAACAACCCTTCCTTGGGTTTCCCAGGAGCTCTGGTGGCGTAGTGCCTAAGGCATTTAACTGCTAACCAAAAGACTGGCGGTTCACACCCACCAGCCACTCTGAGGAAAGAAGACTGGGCAATCTACTTCCGTAGAGATATCCCTCGGAAACCCAAGGAGGGGTTGCTATGAATCGGATCCGATTCTACGGCAGTGAGTTTGGTTTTGGTTGTTGGGTTTCCCAGCCGGTAACTGCCAGCCTTGTGGTTAGCAGTCAAATGCCTTAGGCACTAGGCCACCAGACCTCCTCCGAGCAATAAACAGGCTTCCCCTCATTCCAAAGTGAAAATTCAATTTGAGAATATTAGAATGGTAAGGCTCAGGAACTGTGATTTTCTTGCTTAAATATTGACATCGTGCCCAGAAGTCAGTTCCAAGTCCACATCCTTGTTTTGGCATTTTATGTGTGACCTCATTATTTTTCTTAATGTATAAAACAGAAGATACTAAAATGATTTACATCTATTATCACAATAGGTTTTTGAATTCCTTATGCGGATGGACCTATCATGGGCTTTAGAAACACCGCATTAATGACATCAATTCATTAACCATTGTTACGAATCCAAGAAAAAAACTTCAAATTCTCTTGCCTGCTCAAATTCTTGCTTCTTCCTACCTCTCCCTCACTTTATTTTTTTTTCTTTTTTTCTTTTTTTGTTGAAATTACAAGTAGGAAGAGAGTAGGGAAAAGAAACTAGGGATTGGAAAAGGCAAGGGAAGCCCAACAGACTGGTTAAGCTTGTCCGCTATGTTAGGGCTTCCACCCATGGCCTCGGAGGTCGAGTCAGCATTTCCAGTAGAAATAAGGCTCTAACTCAGGCTCTGATGCTGTGCCCAGAACCAGAGAGATCAAGGAAAGGGTCACACTGACAAATTTTATATATCAATTCAAGGTGCAGTCGTTGATATCAGCCCGAGCACCCCTTCCTCTCGCTCTGGTTAGGGACACCCCTATGCCATGCCCTAATGGTCCCCACCCATCCGTCAGTGGTCACGCGGCCAGCGCGCGGGCGCGGCCTCCGGCTGAGTCCGGCCGTGCGCTTGGCCGCCGCGGCGTCCGCCCGGACTGCCGGAAGGAGGAGCGGCGCCAGCGTCCTACAGCTTGTCCGTCACGCGCCCGCTCACGCTGCCACCGCTTCTGATTGGTCACAGGCCTAGACCAGCCCCTTCCAGCTCCGCCCCCCGTGGACCGAGAGGCCGGGAGGGCGGGTAGGCATCAGCCCCGCCCTTCGGTGGCCCCCAGCGGGCCCGCCCAGCTGTCAGTTACGGGGGTGGCCCGGCAGGGGGGCCAGAGCTCGCTGACTCCCTCTCCACTTGCTCCCTCTCGCCGCCTGTGGGGAAGTCGGGGGCGCCCCAGCGGCCACCGTCACCTCCTCGTCCCAACCTCATTCCCTAACCCCTCCTGACCCAGTCCCTCAGCCCGCGCACCCCTGAGTAGTGAGTGACCCCGCGTGGGGCCGGTGGGGCCGGAGAATCACCGCGGCGGCGCCGGGTGGTGTTCAAACCATGTTAAGGAGGATTTTGCAGAGGGTAAGAGAGTGAAATCGTCTTTCTGGCAGCACGTGAACCCGGAGAGCCTGAGCTAGTGGTCGCGGGTCATCGGTGTGTGTCTGAGGGCGCCGCCTTGGCACTGAGGAGCCGAGTCGGCGGCGAGGGCGTCCCTCCTCAGCGTGGCTCCTTCCTTCTCTAGGCCCCGCAGTCCGGGAGGCGACTAGGCCTTGGTCGTCCGCCCCCGGGGCGGGTAGTGGGGGCGGGGAGGGAGGGTGGGGCGGTGGCGGGGCGGTGGGCTGGAGCCCCGGGCCGGGGCCTGAGCCCCGGCACCCAGTACTTGGGCCGGGCTCCCTGCTCCTGGGGGAGCCTGTCAGCGCGAGCGGGCTGGCGAGTTGGAGGGTGTGGTGCCAGCTCGTTCTTCCCTTGATCCTAGAATGGGAATGAAAATGGAGAGTTGGTGCTTGTGAGACCAGCCTTTCAGCCGCCTGCTGGGCTGGAGAACGCCTGTGGGGGATTACGGGAAGCTGCGCCCCTAGGCTCCCAGGCCACTGTGTCCCCCAACTTTACGCGACACACACCTGTCATACACGCCTTAGGTTTCTGATCTGGACGATATATGAGTAATGTGGTGAAACTCGTCCTAGCGTGGGCCCGGTGGTAGTACTGACACTGGCAGAGTCAGCTGAGACGAATATTACTCACTGTTGGAAACTTTCTCTTTAAAAAAAAATTAATTAAAAATATGTTCCCCCTCCAACCCTGGTACCTTATTTTACCAATCCTAGAATAAATCTGCAAAATAATTTTTTTCATATGCTATACATTTACTCCTCCAAGTTCAGCCAATGCATTCTCCATTTGAACTCTGGAAAACCTTGTAAATTAAATATTAGAGTGTTGGAAATCTGTAGGTATTTGAGAATCAGTTCCCAGGATGGTATAATTAAAATCTCTTCTCATAAGAGCTACTGTACTCAAGTTTTTGTTTTGGATAGCTTTTGTTTTTTTTCTTGAGACAGTGATAAGTTGTAACAACAAGTAATGATTCAAAAGTAAGTGTCAAACCCATTATTTGGTTACTGAGGGAGTAGGATAACTAGTTCAAAGGACAAAAGAAATTAGTGGATTAATAGTATTCAGCCAAGGAAAATACCAAAGAGAGTTGAGTCATCCAAGATATAAAAGGGGAGTGTTCTTGCTCTTGCGTATCTTTCCTTCAGTGTTGAAGTCTTGTGAAATTTGGTCACATATTGGGGGAAGAAATAGTTACCTTCTGTAGGCATTAGCCACCAGAGCTCCCTCTGACATCTTGTGTTGATGTTTAATTACTTTTTGAAGTGGTTTTGTCAGGATTTTTGAAATCTTGATAAGCATTGATTCTAGCAATAGCAAGGTCATGCCCCTTACTCTTGTCATCAGTTCCTGTGTTCAACAGTAAAGACATCCGTGTACGATTTACTTGCAATACTTAGAGATTTTTCTTTTATCAGGTCAGGAGGAACTGACCACCTCATGCCTCATGTTGTGTTTCTGTGTTAGTTTCACAAGTGAAAATTATTTTGTTTGTGGTTTGCTTTAAAGTTTATAAGGAAAACAAAGTATTTACTGATTTAAATGTTTCTGGTAGTTATAGATTAGTTTTCAGAGATTTGGGAAGCTTTCCAGCACACTTGGTTTAATGTTAAACATTCCCCCTAAAAAAGAGAAAAACCCAAAAAACCAAACGCACTGCTGTTGAATTGGTTTGACTCATGGTGACTCCTCCTTGGGTTTCTGAGGTGGTATCTCTATGGAAGAAAGTTGTCCAATCTTCCTTCTGAGGAGTGGCTGGTGGGTTTGAATTGCCAGCCACCTGATTAGCAGTCAAATGCCTTAGGGACTACACCACCAGAGCTCCTTGTTAAACATTAAGATTATATAAAGATCATTTTCAGTGTTGTTTTATGCACATAAACTCTTACAGAAGTTTCAGTTGAAACTGCAAAATTGGAATTTATTGGTGGTACTGCTGAGATGGGATATGGAATCACCATGTCTCAATAAGTCGTTGACGCTTCAGTTTCTCAGCTTCGGCACTACTGACATTTGGGCCCAGATAATTCTTTGTTGTGGGGTTGTCCAATGTATCGTACGATGTTTAGCAGCATCCTTGACCACTATCCATAGATGCCAGTAGCAATGCCCCTCCCCTATGTTGTGACAACAACAAAAAAATGTTTCTAGACTTTGGCAGATGGCCCTGGTTGAGAACCGCTATGTTAAATGTATGCCTTCTTTTATAGGAAACCTTGAAATGTTTCTCCCAGACAACTGTTTAATTTTCTTTTATTCGATGTCATTTTATTGAGTATCTTATTGATTATATAGGCATTATGCCTAGAGGCTGGGAAACAAAGTTAAAACTAATTGCAGTGCTATGTAATAGAAGCATGAAGGGAACCACTTTGTGGAAGGGTGTTGGGGGGGGAAACAGGATAAGCGTCAGAGAGGAGGGCACATTTCCAGCTCTGAAGAGGGAAAGACAAATGCAAAGAAAGTCATAGAGACTAAGAGGGGCAGGTCATGGTAGGGGGAGAGGGAAAAGTGAAAAAAAGTACGATTTTACTTTAGCATGTGAGATAAAAACTGAAAAACACCTGTTGCCATTAAGTCAACTCTGACTTACTATGGCAGCCCAATGTATTATGGAGTAGAACTGCTCCATAAAGTTATTTTTTAGACTTTCTTCCATGGTGCCTGTGGGATTTGAACAGTCAACCTTTAAATCAGTAGTCCAGCAAAAACCTTTTGTGCCATCCAGGGACTTGCAGGAATTGGTGGGAAATGAGACTGCAGAGGTAGCAGGAAAACAGATGAGAGTTGCTACTGTGGAGTTCAGCTCTTACCTTGTGGATGGGTCAGCGTTAATGTTCAGCATTTAAAAGAGACATTTTGATAACAGTTTTAAGGAAATCTGGTGGTTAGTATTGCTAGTTTAGAACTAGAATATATATTTTATTAATTCTACAGGTGGTGTTTACCAAGTATAACTTAAATCTTTAAATTATATAACAAGGCAACCATTTAATTTTACTCCACCCTGATAATCTTTCTTAGCAGAGCTATTAAGATGTGTTTAAAGCTGTAGTTACCTATCTAGAGATATGTTTGACATGGTCTATATGCTTTGAAATGATATTGTATTCCTTTAACATTCTGTTTTTAGATGATCTTTTTATTTTCACTATTGTAATTTTCTTCTGAATAATATACTATAAATAGCATTTTTGAAAGAAGAAACAGACAATGTGCTTGAACCACAATCAATTTCAACTCAAGAGTCTTTGAGCATCATCAATAAGATCCCAGAGTACTTGACAGAAAATTTAGGCTTTTCATTAGCTTATAAAAGATGTACCACTGAGGCTTGAAAAAGATCAAGGTCGCTTCAATGTATTTATATTGATGATTTTGCTTAATAGTAATTTGAAGAGAGTCATGAATTTAAAGTGCTTGATGGCCAGAGACATGATTAGTGTTAGTACCTCAGACAGTTTGTGAACTTTATTGTCATTTTTCTTACTGTGATTTAACTGTAATTTAATCTGACTGTGATTTGTTTGGTATATATGAATAATATTACTGAAGAAAAAATAGATTTAATTATTTCAGAGTTGTAGAAATAGAAGGACTTTTTATAATCTTTAGGTCTTTTTCTATGATTTTTATAATCTTTAGGGCTTTTGCTATGATTTTTAGAATGAAGTAGAAATTGAGAGTTAAGTGATTTAATCTTAGTCAAAATTGAGACTAGAGCCAAATTTTCCCAACTCCCAAACAATTAGCATTTTTCTCTGGCACCATGCTGCCCTTTCTCCCCTACCCCCTTACTCATTTGCTGGGGTTAGTACTATCCTAGTCACTATGGAAGATAAAGGCAAAATATGAGACCCAACTTCTGTCTCAAGGAACATTTATGATTAAGTGTCAAAGTAAATGATATGGACAGTAAAAGCTGGAGTATTACAGAGAAGAAAGATCTGAATGAGCCCATGTGAGTGGGGAGCCTTCTTGGAGAAAATGGACTTGAGGTGGGGTTTTGAAGAATGGGTTTGATTGGGAGAAGACAGAAAATTTGAGGTTGTTTCAGGAAGGAGCTATAGCGTAAGCAAAGACTCAGATGGGGATGATTTCCTTCTGTTTGTTCATCCTCCTTCCTTTGTATATTGCCTTTTAACAGTTATTTATGAACACTTGCCATGTGCTAGATACTTGGAATACAATGGTAAATAATCCACAGTTTCTATCCTTAAGTAGAAGCTCTGGTGGTATAGTGCCTAAAGCACTTGACTGCTAAGTAGAAGCCTGGCAGTTCAAACCCACCAGCCACTTCTTGGAAGGAAGGTTGGGCAATCTACTTCTCTAGTGATGCTGCCTTGGAAACCCAAGGAGGGGTCGCTATGAGTTGGATCCTACTCCACAGAAGTGAGTTTATCCTTAAATAGTTTCCTTAAGGGTAACTTGTAGAGATAGATTTTCAGAGTGACTTTTAGAGATAAATGTCTGTTTAGAGCAAAGAGAAATTGAAAGATGATGGAGATAATTGACAGTCTAGCTCAGTGCTGTCCATTAGAAATACATTATGAATCACATCTAATTTATAATTTTCTAGAAAGGTAAAGTAAACAAGTAAAATTCATTTTTAAAATCTATTTTATTTAACCCAGTATATCAAAATAGTTTAATATGGAATCAATATAAAAATTATTATTGAGGTATTTTACATTCTTTTTTGGGTACTAAGTCTTTGGAATCCAGTGTATATTTTACACTAACAGCATGTCTCAGTTTGGACTAGCCAAATTTCAACTGTTGAGTGGTCTCATGTAGCTCCTATATTGAATAGTACAGGTCGAGCTGAATGTATATAGTTTTTTTAACTTCTTATTTGGTATTTGTAATTTCAAACTTACAGAAAGTTGCAAAAGTAAAATAATACAAGGAAAAGTTGTTTATTCTTTTTTTCCAGAGTCATTTGGTTACTCTCTTTTCATCTTGAC